TATTCTTGTATCAATATCTAATATGAATTTTATTTAATTAATGGTCAATGTTTATCAAAATTGACTCAAAATTTCAAAACTAAACAAATACTCTAGGATGAAGGTAGTACACATTTGGCCAAATAAACAAATGACCCTAACTGACTCTTTTAAATAAATATTAGTAACATATAACAAAACTAATTAAAGTCTCTCACGTGACAGCATATTGTGTACTCTATCAACATCCATTTGGGATGGAAAGATGACACTTCTGGGATAAAACTCACTAATGAAAACAACACAACTTGAGATGTGGTCATTTGCAGCCCAAAACATGAGTTCTGAGTTGTAAAATGACAGGTCTCGCAAGAACAAGGCAACAAGCTCAAAGAGACCATCTCGCGCATGTGTTACTGATTGATTTAAATGTCATTAAGGAGTAAAATCCACACCTTTTCCAGCTAAGCATAGTCTTTGAACAACAGCTCTCACACTAACAGCCAACTCATTCACTGCAGTATTTAATATTTCATTTGCAATGACATCACCATCCTCAGCACATGATACTACTACTGGAACAATTGCAGCAATTCTGGCCCAAGATAAATCTGCATAGGTCCACCTAGATGCCAATAAGAGAGTGATCAAAGTATTGCACTTGAATTATAATATGGCATAAAGCTGCCAGCCCACCATTTATCAAGACATTATGTTTACCAAAAACCCTATGCAAACTGAAGTCGATATTTTAACTTTTAACAATGCAATACTGGTCAGAAAACTCTTCAATGGTAGAAAATTCTTGGCAAGCCTGGTGTAGCCCTTCAATCTGGTTTCAGACCAATCATATATTCAAGCATTGAAGGAAAAGTTGCATGGCTATGACATATAATATAGCTTCCAATAATTTACATTTTTTTCTACTCACCTCCACAAAAAAAGGGGTTAAGATCCAAATAACAGTGCACCCTATATAAATGTATATTTTATCACAAGAGGAATAAAATCACTTCTGTTCGGATTCATTCATAAATAATATAATTCCATTCGCAAAAGCTAGTCTTCTATACTTACACTGTGACTGCAAAGTTTAGACGCTAGAATTCTATAATGATCGACAATCAATTACTTAGGTTTATTCTGTGATAGACAAATGATGTATGTAAAATGCATGTACGAAATGTGCATGGTTGCCTTTTCTCAACTGGTAGAGTGAACAATGTTTGCTTATTGGTCGTGTATCCAAATCCCATATGCAATTATTTTTTCATATCCATTGCTTACAGCATTAAATGCTTTTCAAGATCCCACATTGGTAACATAAAGCATTCACCCCTCCCATTATTCTCTAAAAAGAACATGCACTCTTTTCTTTGCAAAATAGGAAGTTGTTTGTTGGCTGCTACTTCATGTAGTTAAAATTTTCTTTTATTTAAGAAATTATTATCAATGACAATTACTTTAAAATTATCTAATTGGTTCTTAATCCACATGCCTACTGCTTAATTTGCCTAGTCTGCCTAATTCGTGCCTAGATACCCGTCACTCAGCAAGCTACAGTGACACCAAAGGAAGAAATCCGAGTGGCTTGGCCAACCTAGCGCCTACATGCATAGAATTATTCTTTCCATCATTGTAACGACTCAAGTTGAAAAGAAATCCTATCATCCATAACATCCATAATCAGCATAAGTGGAAGTCAGCAAGAATATATTCAATTTATGCATTCTGTAAGTAAACTCGTTCAATGTGTAAATGATAGTAGATTATATATACTGTTGGTATACAAGTTGCTTTTTATATCTTGCATGGTAAACTGAGATGGGTTTTATGGTTGGCTTGTGTGAGGGTTCTCAATGTGTAATAGTACAACTTGTCGGTTTAACTGCTATGCCCCACCTAGGCAGCCACCTTTTAGCACGGTGTTGCATTACTTGCATAGTTGCATGAATGAATTAACAACCATCACACCTTGTCACCTTATGATTTGAGATGTATGTTATAGAAGTGCTTCTAAAACATAGGTTTCAGGTTCTGTCATGCAAGACTATTGACTTTTATGTGTTTACTTTCACCCCCATATTTCAAAATAGTGGGAGTGCTATTCATTCAATTCATTTCCAGGGGAAGTGGGGATCTGTTTCAAAACTGAAGGGTAAATCAGAACTGAGTTTTCTAACTAACTTTGACCTTTTGTGATTTATAGTTTGTATCGGCTGAAGGTCCCCAGTAAAAAACAATGTACGAACTCTATAGTAGCAAACTAGCAATAGATAATTAGATACTACCTTATGAGTTCTTCGGGCGAAGAAAGACTAAGCCACCGTAAAATACGGCTAGTAAGCATTGTCTCTGGACCTCGACCATCATGAGCCCTCATCACTGCACTTAAACCTTTAGCAGCAATGCCATAGCCACTGCAAGACCAGAGAAACACAATTCAGATCACAAGAACACAACCACACAAAAGCTGTAGCACAATCAAAATTCGAGTCATAGGACACGTCAACAATAAAAGAAGGATATTGAAAATGTATGGAATTTTTCTTAACCACACTAGCAATATGTGAACAGGTGAGAAAATCGCTGGTAAAAGACAAAGAAAACTAATTCATTAGATAAAATAAAAAGTATAATCAGTTATAATTCCGTTGAAACAACAACAGGAACATCATACGTAGTAAAATCTCATGAGGGTCTAGGGAGGGTGGGAGTTGCCCCTACCTAGAAAAGGTAGAGAGGCAACTCATTTCTTTAGGTAATTTTTCATTGTTTATAACAAGAAAAAGGAACAAATCTCAGCTGAAATATATAAAGGGGAAGAAAGGATTGCATAAGCATTTATGAAATATGTAAAATACAGTAATAAATGCATAGACTGCACAAATTTGTGTGAAACACAATGAGTACGCACCAACTTTACCTCCCCCAATCACCTAATACAGGTCCTGCCCCAGCAGCACGGGCTTCTCGGCCATCGTCAGTAAAACCATAACAAATGCTTCCCGTACCAGCAATCAGAACACATCCAGAAAGTTTCCCCATGGTCCCGCTTGCAAGAGCAGCTACAGCATCATTGCGAACATATAACTTTACATCACTTGGGAAAATGTTCCTATGAAGGGAATTATATGCATTTAAAAGAGCATAAAAGAAGCATCATAGATCTTATATAACATGATCATTTTAAAACAAAAAAATATAAGCAATCTCATGTTGAATTAAACAAAAAAAAGCTTCTACTCTATCACAACTTCACAGCAACAGGGGAAAATAGCAAGCCACAGTTTTAAGACTTGTTTTGGTCCTTTGGCTATTTATACTTCCTCCTAGCCACTGTGGGGATATAAATAGTTATGTCGCATGATGTCATAAACTGCCAGGCAAGGCATTAATGGCCCTTGTTCCCAAATCCCACTGACACGAGGTTAGTTCACACTTTCAATACCTACATAGACATTTGTCATGCTTAAGTAATTCATATCATTATACGAAAATTTTGCCTGAAATTTATGAAATATGTGGTTTCAGGATGACAGTTTCTTTTGAACCCTTATGGCCATTTAGTCGGATTTATGACCAACTGTTGGTGTGGTTAAGGTTTTTTAACTTTGTTACACTTCAACACACTGATTTCATGGAATAAGTATATGACACCACATATGTACAATATGATACACCCTCAGTCCAATGGCTTTATCTGTACTGCACATTGTGCTCTCTAAGGGTCTGAACTACACTTTTATAATCAAACAACTGCAACATTTCTGAGATAATGAAAGCTGTAAATCTTTTGGGATTGAATCGATCATTAAGCTGGTTTCATATTACAGTATTTCCAATGATACTTGAGGATCATCCAACTGAACCATATCAGTTGATAAAGCCTTCTAAATTCAAATCAAACTATTCCAAATAAATGTCCACATTATATGTCCACATTATACTTGGAAACTTCTTTTCCAATATATTACCATGCATATACAAAACTTGAAGATAGAATTGGCACCAAACCTCAACCAGTTCAACATTTTCTCTTGATCATTTGGGTGGTTAATGCCAGATAGTCCTAAACACACTGCCCGCACATGTGATTGCTTTATGCCAGCATTTGAAAGTGCTTCTTCCATGACCTTTAAAAGTGTTTCCTTTGACGCTTGTTCTGTAAATATAATTATTAAATAATCAATAAAGATTGGTGTTTTGTTACTTTTTTTAGGATGTACCGCATTTTGTTTACTACCCGTAGATTATTCCAAATAAATAATACCCAGAATATTCAATAAAGATTTATTTTTTTGCATTAGATACAATTTTATTGTACCAAAAAAAACATTACCCCCCCCTCCCCCACCACACACATTGCCAAGGCCGCCGCCCCCTACATGCCTCTCTTCCGGCACTAAAACAAACTTCCTCAACTTGCGGTACATAGAATGGAGCTAATGGGATTAATTAATTAACCTAACAAACAACTACTGTGCAAAACAGTAGTGCTTTCTGCTTCGATCCTCAAATTAAATTGAATCATGTAAAAATAAGTAATAAAGCGGGATTCATAAGCAAGTAGGGGAGTGGATATGCAGAAGCGAAAGGAGCGGATCGATATGTACCTCCGACGCTGTTCTTGTTGGAGCAACCGGCGATGGCACGGCCGAGGACGGGAAGAGGATCGGGAATGTCAGGGAGGCGGAGGAGTGGTAAGCAAACGCAGACTGTGGAGGTGGCGCCGCCGTCGACACCCAATATCACATCGCCGGAATTGGACTCCGATCCCATCTCCAGAACGACGACCGGCTGAAACAGCGGCACTAATCTATTTTTGCGGGATGAAATACGGTCGGGTATTTGGCCTGGCCGGAGTGGCGGGACCGGTTGATTGATTAATCAATTATAGCGACACCCGGCTGGAGATGCATTACAGATCATCAGATGAGTCCGGCTAGTCGACTACAAGCCCCAACCGTCTTTTTTGACAAGTGCCACTGGGTGGGGCCCGTCTGTAGACTATTCAAATCTATCTTGGATCATTTTTATTCAAATTCTTGGATATGGGATGAATTCTAAAAGTATCTGTTATCATTCTATTTTAAATATAGAATGATATAATATGATACTCTGCTCAAAGTATGTCTGAATTTTAGATACTTAGGACTTGACTATTTCCGTGTAAGAATTAGGAATTCCTCTTCCAACTCGTCCCAGAATGGGCGTTATGGCAAAGAACAAGAAGAATACAAAAGGAGAAATTTGTCCAATAGTAACAAATGGTGCCTCCACAGGTTGACATCCGATCCAACCTAGTAGTAAGCAATCCGCCAAAAGCAACCAAAATATTCCTTGGTGAATCGGGCGAAAACTTGAACTACGTACATACATACTTTTAAAAGAAGGTAAAGCCAACAGACATATAAAAACTGGTGCTATTGCGGCTACACCTCCCGATTTGTCAGGTATACTACGAAGAATGGCATAGATCGGTAGGAAATACCATTCCGGCACAATATGAGGCGGGGTGGGCATCGGATTAGCAGGTATATAATTGTCGGGATGCCCCAAAACATTAGGAGCATAAAAAATCCAAATGGAAAAAAATATAGCAAAAGCTACCCAACCTACTAAATCCTTTACATAAAAATAAGGGTAAGAAGCAATTTTATCCATCTCTGAATGTACACCCAATGGATTATTGGATCCATATTGATGCAATGCGGCCAGATGAAGAAGACTGGCGCCTGCTAAAATAAAGGGGAGTAAATGATGAAGACTAAAAAAACGATTTAAGGTGGCATTGTCGACGGAGAACCCACCCCAAAGCCAAGTCACTATGGTATCTCCTACTACAGGTATGGCGCTAGCTAAGCTTGTAATTACTGTAGCTCCCCAAAAGCTCATCTGACCCCAAGGTAGTACATATCCTATAAAAGCTGTCACTATCATTAATAGGAAGATTATAACTCCGAGACACCAAACAAATTCCCTAGGACTGCTATAACTCGCATGATATAGACCACGAAAAATATGAAGGTGAACCACAATGAAAAACATACTTGCCCCATTAGCATGCATATAACGGAGCAACCAGCCCCCTTCAACATCTCTCATAATGTGTTCTACGCTGTTGAAAGCTAGATCCACATGAGGTGTGTAATGCATAGCTAAAAAAACGCCAGTCACTATCTGAATGACTAAACAAATACCAGCTAACGAACCGAACCCCCACCAATAACTAAGATTGCTCGGGGTTGGATAATCTATCAAATGCTGATGAAGTGTGGAGGATATAGGTTGTTTAAGAAGAGAGAGTCGTTGGCTCCTTATAGTCACTTATGAATTTTCATTTTATATCGTGACAACTCTTGTTCCCCCACCCCCTAAAGTGGTAAAGAAGGGTCTAATCTTCTTTCTATCTGACAGGAAGGAAGGGATGGTTCTTTCATTGCATCTCACTATTACTTTCTATTACTTTGAGAAGAGAAT